CTCACCTGTTCCCCCGCACGGGTTCCGAAGGGACGCCTATTCTTGCCATCCCCCGCGTCGGCCCGCGTCCCATCTTTGCCCTCTTTCTCCAGCTGCACCATCTGCAAGAAACGGCAGGGGGCGACAAGCTGGTTACACGGAGAATTGGTGGGAAGCAGACTTTGGCCATATCACACATCTTTAGTGATACAGGGGTCCCCCAGTCCGAACCGTCACCCACCACCCAGCAGGAGACTCGAAGAGGCCAAGCAAGTAAAAAAAACGGCTTCTTCTTACCCTGTTCAGGCGTCGACGCTTCATGTCACGCCTCCCTCCTTCCTCCTCCACTGGCGACACGGCCTGCGATAGCGTCATCAGCCCATCCTCCTCTTCCCCCTCCTCCTCGCATCGCTTCCTCCGGACGGTCGGGGAGCCCCCACCACCTCCGCCTTGAAGCCGCCTATCGTTATTGTTCCGCCGCATCACCGGTGATGGTGTCGTCGCGCTACTCTCCCCCTCCTCCTCTCCACTACCGCCGGCGGAAGACGGCTGTGGCAGTTGGGCCGGCGGCGCCATGTCAAACACCCTTACCGGCGTGCCATTCCCCTCCCCCCCGCCGCCGCCGCTGCCCCTCCTGCCTGGTGTTGTCGCCGCGACAGCGACGGGGACGCCGGGCGAGACGCCGCCGCCGCCGCGTCCGCAGCTATCGTCCGTGTCGTCGTCAGACAGGGCAATTGTCTTCTTCTTCCTCTTGACCTCGCCCGCTTTGCACCCGGGAGGCCGGCGGCGCGCCGGAATCGGACTCGGAGAAGACTCCGACCCTTGCGGGGACGACGCCGGCAACGTTCTCCCGCCTCGCCCGGCAGCAGCCGCCGCCGCAAAAATCCCGCCGCAACAGGCGGGTGCGGGGCTGCAGGAACCGGGCGGCGTGGCCGCGCAGGTCGGTGGCGTAGACACCCCGCGCCTCGACCCTTCTCCGCCCTTAGCCCTCCGCTCGGCGGCGACCGGCGTCGTCTTCGCTGCCGCCACTGCCGCTGCCGCCACCACCGTACCTTCCTCAACGCAACCCCCGCCCGGCGACCGCTCGGCGCTTTCACCCCAGTCCGTCACCGCGCCTCCGTCCTCATCGTCCCGGCGCCGCCGGCTTCTCCGGCAGGAGTGCGTCCTGCAGAACAGCTCGAAGGCGCCGTCGGCCTCCCGCAGGAGGAGTCCCGCGCGCATGGCGCAAAACGGGTGGTAGGCTTCCGGGCAGGAGGGCTCGGCGCACTCCACCGCCGCTCCCCCCCGGCCGTGGCACGCGGAGCACGCCAACCGACTGCGGGCAGGGTCGAGCCCCGCCAGCGGCCCCGGGCGGACGGTGCCCGGCTCCGTCGCGAGCTCCGGGGTCCACCAGACGCAGGCCACGTGCACCCACCGCGAGCACCGCGAGAGCTTCATGGCGCCGCCCGACTGCTTGCACAGCGCACAAGAGATGGACCGCGGTGACGACAACGACCGCTGGTCTTCCGGATCCGCCGCCGCCGCCGCTGCTGCCGATGATGATGATGGTCGCGGTACCGGTTCGGAGCCAACAGCGGCGCCGGCGGCGGTCTCGCCATTCGAGCGGCAAGGGTCGCACAACCACGGACCTTCGGGCACCTCGGCGATCCCGTAGCAGTCGGTGTGGACGGCCGTCTTGCAATTCCTCGGGCCGTCGCACAGAACGATCGGGTCGTCCTCCCTGGAAGTCGAGCAGCCGCACACCCCGCACGCCACGTCATCCCCGTCATCGCTCTCGCCGTCGTCGCTCTCGCCGTCGTCGCTCTCGCCGCCGCCGCCGCCACCCCCGTTGTCGCCGTCCTCCAGCTCGGTGTCTCCCCCACCGTCGCCGCTATGACCGCCGCCGCTGCCCGAGGGTGAGACGCGGAGCGTAGCCTCCTTCTCCTCCTCCTCCTCCTCCTCCTCCTCCTCCTCCTCTTGCTCTGCTCTCCCGGGCCCGGTGCTGCTCTTCCTTCCGTCGGCAATAGCACATTCCGGCGACGGCCGTGCCTCCACAGCTTCCGCCGCCGTCGCTGCTGACTTTCCTTCGGTGGGACGACAACCAATTTCTTCACCAGGAGAGCTCCTGCTACCCCACACGGCAGGAGCCGCAGGAACCGCAGCCGCAGCAGCGCTAGCAGCCGCATGGCCCAGGTGGGCACGCGGAGCACAACTGCCGGCGGAGAACGACGGGGGGGCAACAAGAGACGGAGGGGAAGGCAGCCACAGGCCGCCGGACGACGACACCGACCGAGCGGCCAGCTCGACAGCAGCCGTCGCCGTACCCCCGGCGACCCGTCCATCTGCAATTCTATCTTTACCGATGTCGGCGCTCTCGTCTGCCTCGAAGTCATGAAGCGCCGGGAAGAGATCGCAGAAGCTGTCCTCCTCGTCCTCGTCCTCCTCGTCCTCGTCCTCGTCCTCGTCCTCCTCCTCTTGACTGAAAGCTTCGTTGCGCGATGACGCAACACAGCCCTCATCAACTCCTTCCTCCTTGCAAGCGGCTGCTGCTGCGGCGGCAGGTTCGGACAAGGACGACGACCTCGCGTCGTCGCCTCCCGCACCACCGCCGTGGCGGCTGGCGTCCAACCCATCCGATCGCTGCCAGGCTACGCCAAGGCCCGCGCGACCACCCACCCGCGTCGCCCCTTCATGAACAACAGCAGCAGCGGGTCCGCTCGATCGCCTCGAATCCACTGCAGCACCCAGCCGCCCGGGAGAGGCTGCCCCCCCACCGAGGCCGGCGCACAGATCGCGCACGTTCGTGGCGACCGAAGCCCCGCCGCCCCATCCTGCGGCGCGGCAAGCTATCGGCGTCGATGAGCCCGACAACGATGACGACGCGCTCCTGACCTTGACGGTGGACGCGACGGACTCGACGTCGACACCGCCCACCGCCGGTGTCTCCGGCCGGGGCGTTTCACAACGTCCCCGAGCGGGTGACGCTGACCGACCCCCTGCCGCACCTTTGACGAAAGCGGTGGTCGGAAGCTCGGGGTTGTTATCGCGGCCCGGGCCTGGGGTCTCCGGTCGCGCACCCGCCGCTGACGGCGCACCTCCGCCAGCCGCCGCCGGTCGAGGGGTGTTGCACCCGCGGCATTTCAGGCGCGAGGCGCCGTACTCGTTTCCGCAGGACGGGCACTGCCACCCTCCGCCCGCGGCAGCAGCAGCAACGCCCGTGTCAGTTGCTGCGCCGGCGCTTGCCGCTAAAGACCCGCCGCTGCAAGCCGACGAGGGCCCCGCCGGACTTCCGGCGCCGCCACCGCTACCGCGTACACGGCTCTCGGCGGTTGCGAGGTTAGATTCTTCGCGCTTGGCACCGCCGTCAGATGCGGCACCGCTAGAAGCGACGCCTTGCGCCTCAAGGACGCCCTGTGCCGGTCTCGGCTGCCCGCACATGCTGCACCGCCTCTTCCCCGCCCTCATGCGGCACCCGCAGCCGCACTCCCACCTGCCCCGCTCGCGGGGGCTGCTCGCACTGCTGCTGCTCTCGCTCCGGCTACTGCTGATGCTGTTGACGCTACCCGCTTGGCTGGCTCCAGCTCCAGCGGCTCCGGCCTTGCCCGCTCCAGCCGTGGAGGACTCTGCCGTGCCGCCGGGGCTAAGGCTGAGGCCCCCTTCTGCTCTTCCTCTTTCTTCTCTCTCACTTCCTCCCCCCCCTCCTATTTCTCCCCCCTCCCCTCCACCTCCTCCTCCATTGCTGTTGCCGTCGCTGCACCCCAAAGACGGCGAGGACTCTAAAACCCCGGGGAGCGCCCCCTCTCCAGACCGGGACGGGGCACCACTTCTACCACCGCTTCCGTCTACGTCGCACAGCCGCGTGCTCGAGAGACGGGACGGTACGGCGGCGGCGGCAGCAGCGTTAGCCGAACCGCAGGCGCGACACGTCCTACGACCAGCCTTCGCAAGAACGCCGCAGCCGCAGCGCCACCGCTCTTCTTCGGCTGTCGCTTCCTGCATCCGTGCCGTCGCAGAGCCGCCGCCGCCGGCGCTGGCGGGGAGGCCCCGGCGTCCCGCGGGGGACCGGAAGTCGGGGTCAGACTGAGTCTCCTCCTCGTCGTCATCGTCTAACCCACCTTGCCCCGTCAGGCCTCTCGACGCTTCCTGTCCTTCTCCTCGGGACGACTCGGGAACGACCTTTTCCCGAGTAGAACCCTCGTTTCTCGTAGTAGCAGCAGCAGAGCTCATGACCCCTATTGTTTCATCCTCGTCATCGTCGTCGCCCCCGCTGCACCCACCACCCGAGGAACCTCTGTTGCTCTTCTTACCCCCTGTCTTAGTCCGTTTCGGTTTTCTCTTCGCGGTGCTCGTGTCCTTGTTCGCGGTAACGCCGCCCTCCTCTCCTCCGACCCGCCGCTCGCCCTCACCATGACGCAACATGCTGTTCGCCATGTTGGCACCTTCGCCCGCCGTAGCCCCGGCTTCAGCACTAACAGCATCAGCATGGTGATCACTAGCAGCAGCCCGTCGCCGGGCGCGGCGCGCGGCAGCAGCAGCAGGGGGTTCTACCTCAAAGATGTCGTCGTCGGACTCGGTATTTAGTGGCGGAGGCGGTATTCCACTACTGCGGCCGCCGCCGCCGCCGTCGCCGCTGCCGCAGGCGTCATCAGAAGCGCGAGGAGGTTTCGGAAACGTCTCCGGGTCTTCGTCCTGGAACAAGGGCGAGGTTGCCATCTTTAGCTCCATGTCGCTCGGGTCATACACGAACTCCCACTCCTTGGGGACAAAAATTGAATCGAAGAACAGACATGCGGGCAAGCGGAGCGGGGAGAGTACGTGCGGAAAATATACAGCACAAAATGAGGGTCACCCAAAGCTGCACACAGAAGAAAGAGTACACAACGTTCTGAATACACAGGCCGGCCTGGTGGCCAGTAGAGGAAGGGCAGCGAGAGAGAGGGGGGGGGGAGGGTACTCTCATGTTTTGCATGCCTTAGCGGTTAGACCATTAACCACGCGTCCTCGAGAGGATGGAGCATTGTTCCCACAGGACCGATCACCGATGGCCAATCGTTCCGTCCTACTATGCCACAGGTGGCTCAAAAATGCCTTCCCTGGTCTGTCTATCCTATCGATATCCCTTCCCGCCTTTTCAAACCACTTCCTACTCCCCAGTACAGCTATCGTCCTCTCCTCTCTATTCCACGCCTCAAATGTCTCCCTATACCTCCCTTCTACTTTTCCCAGCTCAGTCACGTACACTTCCCTCTCCTCTTCGTACAACCGACATTCCGCGACTACATGAACACGGTCTTCGCATTCGAAGCCGCAATCACATTTGAACTCGTCGTCTTCGTCGTCTACCGTCCCACGTCTTCGTCGACGTTCTCGAAGGCCAATGTCCCCGGTCCTGAATTTGACCTTAAGCTTTGTCCCTGCATCCATTGGTCCATGTAGGTAATCCTTGAAACCTATTCCTTCCTTCAACATTCCGTACACTTCTAGACCCTCCTCATCCTTGCATTATTTCCTTAGATTCTGTTCTTCTCACTCGGCACAAGCAACAGATATCTTCTCCTTGGACCCCTGTAGACCCTCCGTTTCCAGCGTTTCATCTTCGTCGATGTCGAGCCCCTTCCATACGTCCTCTACAACCTTGACCCATTCCTTGGGTTGTCTACCCCTCTTTTTGTTTGCCCACTTCGCCTCCCATACAATTCTCGGCAACCTCTCCTCTCCCATCCCGCACATGCGATACTGCCATGTAAGCTTCCTCGCGCCTCTTCCCGACCGTAGGGATTGGATCCCCAGTTCTGCCGTCACGGCTGCATTACTTGTGCGCTTGGAGCATCAGGATGATTTTCGCTGCTTTCATCTGCGCCGCCTCGAGTTCTTTCACTACCTTCTTATTTCCTTCCCATACTTCTCCGGC